CTTGAGAGGACTTATTCATTTCATGTTCAGATTTTACATTGCTTACACTTCAGCTCTTCTCCTCGGGGGGTAGGGCGATTTCATTTGCTATCACCACACCTGCCATTCTATGGGTTGGGGAATTTTTTTGTTGCACAAAAGATAAATCCCAGAGCTGAGGAGAAATCAGACAGCAGATGTGTTGGAGTGCAGGCAGTAAAATCATCAAATAAATAAGTCTTGCTCTCAAACTAAAATATCACGCTCTTGAATAAAACAATAATCACAGAATCTGAAGTGGGGACAAAGTGCCTGAGCACAGACACGGGGATACAGGGTCTTATAAAATGTAATCTAAATGTTGTTTGTTTTCAAAAGAGCTATTGCATGTTAAAACCCTCTCATCTTTTTGGGTTTGAAATTGCACCTGAAAATCTGTAATGTTCAGTCACAGACCAGGTAACCTCTCAGAATCCTCCCCACCCCTCTCAAACACCGAGGCTGAAATACTGAGGTTCTCGTTGTGGAGAGGCTGGAAACCCTCTGGAGCGCTCAACAATGTGATTCACAGCTGGGCCCCGGAAAAAAAAAAAAGAGCTGACCGATAATTCTCCTCAAAATATAAATCACCTCTTCCACCTTCACGGCTTTAATAGAGAACTGTGTTTCTGAATTATTCATCAGTGCATCGCTGGAGAGAGAAAGGGAGAGAGACTACCCTTTGACACACGTCATTCCCCATGCTTTTAAGTCAAAGTCACCCCAATAAAATCTATTTAGATGGCTTATCTTTAGTGGAGTGTGGCTATTCAAAGACTTAACAGCTCAACCAAACAGAGAGTGAGTTTCTGCTGTTCGACGTCCTCAGCTGCTGAGACACGGAGACATTATGAGGAAACAGTTCTGTCAGACTAGTTGATAAAAATAATAAGACTATTCATATTTATCTTTCCTTGTGTGACTGAGTGTTTCATGAATCAACAGATTGTTTAACTCTGTTTTTTCACAGGTTTGTCAAGAGTAACATTAGATGACTAACGCTGTTTAATGTCAAAGCCAGCAACCAGTTGCCTTAACTGTAAAATGGGAAACAGTCCATGCTGAATCTGAATATGCCTCAGTGCCAGCCAGACAGCCAGAGGCGTTTAGTTTTTGGATTCTCTGTCCAATTCTTGTGAACAGGATTTCAAATTTGATACAAACCTTTACTTGGACTCAAGGATGACTTGATTTGAATCGTGAGGTCAAAGGTCAATGTGACCTCGTTTAAAAAAACGTTTTCTCATTGTGAACGTGTCTGTAAGGACGCCTTGAGACAACTGTTTCAAAATTGGCACTAATGTTCTCTTTGACTGGCAGATGAACGGATTAGAATTTGGTGGTCAAAGGTCAAGATCACAGTCTCAAGCATGTTCTGCCTCTTGAACATGATATCTCAAGTCTGCCTTCTAAATAATCTTTTTAAATTTTGACCAGTTGTCATTTGGACAGAAAGATTGATTGATTAGATTTCATGGTGTCCTCAGATGAGTCTGAAAAACAAATGTGAGTAGATTGAAACTTCACTGGGCAGCGGAGGCATGGAGCCATAGGGCAGTCATTCTAGTTTCCTCCTGTGTGTCGTGTTCTCCACAAAATTTGCAGTTTGTCTTTTTGCTGCTGGCACAAACATTACATTTGAGTGAACAGACACTAGAGTGTTGACCGTACTTTCATCAAACTTTTCTGCACGATAGAAAACATATGCTGCAACATTTCTGAATTGTTTTGAGAGATATACCATTAATAATAATCAAGTCAAAAACCAACCTGTTCACGTTTTCTTTGGCGACCCTCTGGAGCTGTTTTTAGAGGAATTGTTCACTTAGGTTAAATGAGCTGATATGTACAAAACGTTTTGCCAGCAATGTTAGACATTTATCTTTCTGATGTGATGTATTAACAAATCAATATTTACAAATCAACCTCTATGTGAAAAAGCCCCTGTCTCTCTCCATTAGATGATGAAGCTGTAGTGAAAAGATTTGTGAGGAATCGAGAAAACGTGCAGCAATGAAGGCTCCTAAAGCAGGATAATAGTGTGCATTGTGTCTTTGTTTTGTCTTTGTCAGCTTGTCTATTTGTAGAATGACTTCACAACGTAATGTGTGATATGTGGAAACTCACTGCACTTACTACACTGTTCACTTTATTTAAAAATCATAGTAAACTGAGCAGCTTCTTTTTTTTACAGTGCAGGATCACGGATCGTGCATTCATTTTTGGGTAAATCTCTCAAACTATTTACACAATAATTAAATATCATATTTAAGTTCTGTTGGACTGATTATTATATGAAAATAATAGTGATGTAATGATCTATAGTAGCACCAATATGATTAACATAACACATTTTTAATCCATTAAAATCAGAGCAAATTTAAGGTTTAATCATGATCAGTAATCTCAGAATGTTGTCTGTATCATCAGAGGTGGAACATAATGAAGTACAAATACTTCGTTACTGTAGTTAAGTAGATTTTTCAGGTATCTGTACCTTGCTTGAGTATTTATTTTCCTGACGACCTTTTACTGTTACTCGCTACATTTGAACACAAATATCTCTACTTTCTACTCCTTACATTCTCAAAACTGGCTCGTTACTTGTTTTTACGCACAGAGCACTGCTCACCCACTGCCTCGGGAGACACACAGGACCCCCAGCTGTCTGGGGGGCAGTGCTAGACCCAAAGTGTCCGGAGGTTGGTCCTGCTGCCGTAGTCGACCAAGGTCAAGCGGCTGTACCGGTCATGATCCTTCCTCAGGTCCCCCTACAGAAACCTTGTTACAACTTTTACTTTCTTTGGATAGTCAAGTTTGATCGTGTTCTTGGCACTCCACCAGGGCCATGCCTGACTCCGGCGGGGTCCTTGGCCTAACCAAGGACCTAACTCAACCATCCAATCAGTAGTAGCGACGGGCGGTGTGTACAGAGGGCAGGGACTTAATCAACGCCAGCACATTCCCCATCCATTTATTTCCTGTAAAGAATGATCCAGGTGCTCATGCAGGACCTCGGTTCAGTTCAGTCTTTATTATTTTGAAATTTGGCAGCAGAACTAGACTGTGCCCAGTGATTTTGTTTCTCTGTCCCAGCTCTGTGCAGGTTGTTAACAAAAGAAGAAAACTATCCTATTTTGTGTGCCTTTTGCAGAGTTATCAAAACAGGCATTGCGTATCATGAAGTTCAAAATCTATTTTTACTTTTGTACTTAAGTACATTTCAGAGCCTGTACTTTCTTACTTTTACTTAAGTAAACGAGTTGAATGAGTATTTCTACTTTTACCAGAGTCTTTTTTTTACACCAGTATCTGAACTTTTACTCAAGTAAAGAATGTGAGTACTTTTGCCACCACTGTGAATCATGAGTGAGATACTGTTCAACCCCCCACAACTCCATGGCTGGTCCAGTTAATGAAATTACCATTTCCTTCATCATTTTAGACACATCACCCCCAAAAACCACATATTTGGTATTTTGGAAGTGTTGGATCTACACAAGGATTTTGGGTTTGGTCATAGTTTGGGTTTACAGCATGGGCTGATCTGATCAATACATTGATGGCTCAGTGAGGTTTTATTCCACTGCCTCAGCAGCAGGATCAGGAGAGTTGGAGAGTATCATTGTTATTTAAAGATTTCTCTTTGATTAATCATGCTAATATGCTAATATGCAGTTAAAACTGCAACCTTTTTTATTTCCTAGATCATCTATCTATCTATGTGGTAAACCATAGAGCCCAGTACACATGCCATGGACACACACACACACACACATTCTCTCTCTTTGCTGTTCTTACATTGCACCTGTGTTGGTCAACAGTAGCAATAAACTGAGCCATTCCTCTGGAAGTAGTGTATTTCACAGCGCGGTTATTACAGACTCAAGTCAAGCATGAGCCTGTCGCTGTCGCTCATGCATGTTTTACCTTTTGTGATGACTTACTCAGATGAACAGCAGGGTTTCACAAAATGCACCACAACAGAAGGTGGTGACGTAACACAACGATAATCAAAGTGAATGCAAGATACAAGTTCTATCAGATTCAAACAATCTGGGAGCTGAAGTAAAAATAATATCTGCTTTGAACTTTAAATACTTTCAAAAACACAACAGTTGGATTTACAAATTATCAGAACTGTATCCAAAGAAGGGAAGAGAGACAGGAAACAAACCTGTTCAATAATGTGGAAGGTACAGAGTGATGTGTGATAACTGCTGAGAGGGGGAGCAGAAGAAGTGGAGGAAGAGAAGTTGTGTCAGAAAAGAAAAGTATAGACATGGCAGAGGAGATGTGGTTCACTGGGGACAAGACAGCATGAGGAAGTTCTTGCTGAGTTTGACAAGTCCTCTAGGTACCTGACAGTGGAAATGTCACTGTGTGGTGTGGGGAGACAGGTGGTGGTCTGGCTGTGTGGCCTGCTGTTCTTTTATTGCTCAGAATACCATCCACAGGCCTCAGAAGGGTTGGTCTCCCTCCCTATGCCTGTATAACCATGGATTTTCTTTGGACTCAACAAATTCTGTTCTCTTTTACATGTAACGTGTTCCAGTCTCTGCATCACACGGTGCATATGAGTGGGAACACTACCATTGATTTTGTTGTCAGATAATTGATAGTGTAGAAAATGATAGGCCATCACTGCAAAACTGAAAATTTAGTTGAGGTAGTGTACATCAGGAGGAAGGAAGGAAAGAGAGACAGAAAGTCATCATATATAACGACTGTAGTATTCAGTTTAATACCCAGTCAAACAAAGTCACAATGAAACAAATCTGAATTTTCATGCTTAATAATAACTGAGTAGAGGAGATCTCACAATTCAGACTGAATATCAAATATGGAGTAAAGAAACCTGCTGCATGTTATGCATTGTCAAGAGACTTATTTTATATTTGAGTTATCCAGCAGCAGACTCAGGACTGAACTGTTGTTATATTTTTTCTTACCTCCTTTTTCCTCCCTCCATCTTTTCCTAGACGACAAGAACCCCTGTCATCTAGCCGTGGCCTTCGGCCCCTGTCGGGGAATGGTGAAGCGCTACTTCTTTGACAGCACAAGTCAGGAGTGCAAGCATTTCTATTACGGCGGCTGCTTCGGCAACGCCAACAACTTCAGGAGCATGGCGGAGTGCCAGGCAAGATGTCCGAACCCAGGTAAGGCCATGGCGAACCGCTGACCTTTTACAGGAGAGGCTGGCAAACACCCAGGCTGTCACGGCCACAGCATTGTTAGATTCTGTTTAAACCCACATATACAATCTCTAGGGCTCTTGCGCTCACACTCGGAAGATATCGATATTTCGTGGAGTTGGATTGTGTCTATAAATAAAACAAATATGTGATATTCTGACACTATTTGAAAGAAAACACATCAACACCCCAGCCTTATGTCTTAGTATAGTCTAGTTTTAGTTTTTATAGTGTCATTGTAAAGTCTTTAATTTGACCAAAGAGAAATAATTACTTTCTTATTGCCTTTCCCTCGTGGCACTGTGCACTGCAGCCTGATCGCAGCTGCTGCACAACAAGTGAAAACTAATTTCAGAGCTGGTGACATAATCTAAACAGTTCCACCTCAGAAAATTAGCTTTCCGACGAATTTTAGTTGACCATGAAATCCCATTGCTCCTTGATTTAGCATTTAAATCACCTTGAAGTGACTGGAGCACACTCGATTGTAGCAGACATAGGCACATTTAGATTGTAGAATCATCAAAAAAATAAGCAGCAAGTTGCTGGACTGTGACCAGGTCTGCCAACAGCTCGTGTTTTGAAAATCAACGGAAAAAGGGTTGTGTGACATTTTTTTCTTGTTATTTGGGTTTCAGATAGATGACTGTGTCTGGTTTCATTAGTGGATCATATCTTTTTTCAGAGAAACACCCTCTCCACCCTGATACTAATGAAATGAAACTCACTTTAATTATGACTGATTACGGACCTAATGAGATTTGTTTCTAAATAATAAGCGAGGTAAAAACACTGGCTCACCATCTCATGTGGAGACACTCTAATGTACATTTTTTATTCCTTTTATTTCCTTTTTGTGTCCACATAGTAATACCCACCAAGGAATCAGAAGTCCACACACAGGCTACTAGAAGCTCAGATGTTGTCCAAGCAACTGAAGTAACTGGTAAGACTGAAACTACACCTCTATTGTCTACTGTCCCATCAATCCTGGGCAAAAGTTTGTGAAGATATAGTTTTTTGTACCTCAGGGCCAGAGATTCACTTGGACACTTGGATGAACTGACTAGAGTTTGGTATTTAAAGGTTAAAGTTATTGTGACCTCACTAAACCTATTTTTTCCTTCTGAATGCAAGATCTCAGGAAGACCTCCCATGGAATTTCTTCAAATTTGGTTTAAAAGTTAACTTGGAACTTCTGGAGCACTTTGGAATTCACAGACAGACCTGAGGGTCAAAGCTCAAGGTCACTGTGGCTTCATGAAAACTTTTTTTGCCTCATGAACATTTTGAGAACATCCTCAGAGAATAATTTAAATTTTTGCCCATAGGTTCACTTAGATTCACAGATTAAATGATAATACTTTGGGGTTCTCAGTTCTTGAACATGATGTCTATATTAACTGATTAGATTGCAGTGGTCCAAGGACAAATGTCACAGTGACGTGATATGAATCTGAAAAAAAAATGTATATATACAGTGTGTGTATGTGTATGTATATATTACAGGCATTGGCAGCATACAACCACATGGCAGTGACTGTAGATGGGGAAAAGAACACACTTATGTAATATTAAACACTTACTCTATTTGCAGACTCTAGTTTGGGTCCAAAATACGCCCACACCTAAGGGGATTCTGCATCTTGCTGCAGCTTGTTCTTCATGCTTGGAGCAGGCGCAGCCATCATTGCATGCGGTTACATAGATGCGTCACTTCGGCAGCTGACGCTTTTATTCTCAGAAACACACACGAGGTTTAAAGTCAATTGGATGAGTGGTTGTCGAGAATTTGGAAGGCATATCTTTTCTGTGTTATTTTCTGATCCTTTTAGGTTGAAATCTGTTGTGAAGGTGCAAAATAGAAAAAAAATCCCTCAAAATCATGAAAGTTCAGATGTCTGTGTTGAAATGTAGAAAGTAAAAGTAAACAAGTTTTAAGAAATAAAACACTCAAGTAAAGTACAGATGCCTCAAACATGTAATTGAGTAGATTAAAAAGTATTTATACTCTGTCTCATCTCCCCTGGTTATAATGAGATGACTGATTTCTTGATGTATGTGTTATGTATGTTTTTCTCAGAAGAACTGGCTCTAATTCAACCTCAAGTGCAACTGAATCACTCGAATCAAGGGACAGAAGGTAAGAAAATTGAACTTTAATGGTTTGATGCTCAGAATGAAGATGATGTTGACAGTGGTGTAACATCTTATTGAATCAGTGGAATGATATGAGTAATAATAGACACTTGGGTTAATTCAGCCTCAGGTGAACATCATGCAGATCAGTTACCTGTGGCTATTGTCGTTATGATCGTATGTACATACTGCTGTTTTGGACCAGTCAGATCCAAAATGATGGATATGAGGTGAAAAATGAAGTTTTTCAGTCTAAATAGAAAAATTACCCCAATGATGAAGCACAAAACCAGAAGCAGCACGTGTGTTACAGTTTGTGTTAAACATCAGAGAAGTTTGGGACAGATTCACTGATGTGAAGTTTCATTCACTCAATCGTCTTGTCCTTGGATTATCAGATATGCTTAAACCTCACCATAAGCAAATCCACCTCATCTAATAACCCCTGTGTGTGCTGCCAGTAACTTTTTTTTGTCAAAAGAAAAATGGCTCAGTGATGCAAGATGGCAGACAGCTGACAAAACTGCTTCCGTGGTGAAAAGCAACGGGCAGAACCAAAGTGCATCAGTGTCTCCTTCCCACAGGCCATTCTTTGCATATTCGCACTCTCCAATCACCATGTGTTAGCAGTGAGGGAGTGTGCTCTCATGTCATGGTTGTTGTGTTCTCTGGCTCTTTTGTGCTGCAGTGGGAGAGCACAGGTCTCTTTTACCTCCACTCAGATTTCAAAACTCAATTTTACTATTACCAGTGAAGTTTCCAGAGGGAAAGATTCAGGACGAGTTAGCCTCAGTAGTTTTGTCTCCTCACCATCCTTCCTATAATCTTCATTATATGACAAAGTTTCTCTTAGAAATAACACCTGGATTAAAAGTTGAAGTCCTCAGAGCAGCACTGAATCATTCAGACCATATATTATACACATTTAGAATAACATTTGGTTGATGTGTCACAAATAAATTTCAGGTTATGTTTTCTATCACTTTGCTGAGTTTAGTGATCATATCAGTCCACTAAGCAGGCAGACTGTTATTATAGACTGACATCTTGTGGTTGTATGATGAACGACACTTTTAATGACAGTGGGAGAAGCTGCACTGCAGATCCCTTAGTTTAAACAGTGTAAACTACAGCAGCCCTCAGTCCAAAAAGTAGTAAATGTGGTCAGGGATATTGTGTATCTATTGTATATTGTGTCCTAATAGCCAACAATTAATAAAGTTTGAAGGCCTGTGTCTGTGGCCCTCAAATGACTGTGATAAACATTCGGCCCAAATGAAATGATTGGCTGGTGTATGTGTCACAGACCGACTCACCTGCCTGCGTGCAGCCTGCCCGTGCCATTGTAACCAATGAGTAGACTTTATTCAGAGTTCTGGAAGCAGTTTACTACAAATCCAAATTTTTTTTATTACAAATTGCTGGACTGAAACACATCTGACCTCATGATACAGATAACACACAGATTTCACAATTTCACTAACAATACCCAGTAATGAGTTCACAGTGAGAACATGAATGGAACTATGAATACTGTTCCACCCTCTGTCTAAGATGAAAGTCCATGAAACAAAAAAAAAAACTAAATTACAAAACCGTCTTCACTCCAAAAACGTGTCCTACAGTTGTTCTAAAATAAAAAAATTAAATGCTGGCCAGCCGTAGAAAAAAATTTACATAGCGCTCTATAAATGTGTGTGTGTGGGGGGGTGTTGTAGCACATACGTGAAGGGGAGTGACGGGGGGGTTGCAGAGATGATGATGACGGCTATCCTCATCCACAGGCACAGGAAATACCTCAGCAATCTCTCACACCAAAAGCCATGTAGCAGGAAACATCACTAGGTGCAGGATGTGGACAGAGACATTGTGGCTGAGGGGGTAGAGCGGTCATCCTCCAACCAGAAGGTCGGAAGTTCGATGCCAAAGTGTCCTTGGGCAAGATACTGAACCCCAAACTGCCCAATAGAACAACAAAAAGTGCTAGCTATAGAAGCACTCTATGTATGAATGTGTGTGTGAATGGGTGAATGGAAAACTGTAGTGTAAAGCTTTGAGTGGTCTTCAAGACTAGAAAAGCGCTATATAAATACGACCATTTACCACATACACACGTTGACTCTGCAGCAGCTCTAAGCTCGCGATTTCCACTAGGAGCACTCTAGTAATCAAACTGGCAGTCGTAAAGCTGCCATAAAGAGACGTTGTCATGATCATTAAAGGGCATTACACACAAAACATATTAGTATGACAGCATCAGCAGACAGAAATTACAGCTGGGTTACATCATCAGCCTGGGAGACACCACTGAAGCAAAGGCTGTAGCCAGAAGTTGGCAAAAAATAAGTCAGTCATGGAAAAGTCGGCTTCTAGTAGTTGTCAGTCAGCGTTCAAACTGGGACTACGTCGAGGGCCGAACATTTATTCAACAGGATATTGGATAAAGTGCAAAACGAAAACATATTTAGGTAGGCTACATAAGGCCATAATTTTAAACATTTTCTGGGTCTCACTGTTTACAGATGTGAAGCATAAGAGGCTGTGCTTCAGTCCAGCGGACAGGGGAACATGTGACGGTGCAGAGAAGAGATTCTTCTACAACTCCAGGACCAAGAGATGCCAGATGTTTCACTACAGTGGATGTGGAGGAAATGAGAATAACTTCATGGTCCGGAAGCAATGTATCAGAAAGTGCATCAGACGCAGAGAGCGTAAGATTGCTTCAAGAGATTGATTTGGAAATGCACGATGAATTTCATACTTAGTCAATGTACAGTCTCCAACACGTTTTTGTTCCTTTACTATTATGAGTATATGTGGAATGCATACCTCAAAACCTGTTCAACTTATCATCTTCACATTTGGCATGTTTATTGTTCATGGCCCAGGGAAGTGCAGTGCACATAAACTGAAACAACTGAATAAACAGGCGATCAGCACTCTGTTGCAGCCAGTGGGGGCGGGGCAATGTGCTGACAGTCAATCTGGAGACTGAGTTGAACCTCTGATAAACTTCAGCAAACTCTCCGCCAGATGATTTTGATATTTTTATTATTCTTATTTCACCACAACAGACTGACACTCAGAAACAGACACAAACTCAGACGGATAGCACAGGCATTGATCTCCATCATGGCAGCAACATTCGTAGAATCACTTCCGATATTTCAAGTTGTCTTAAAAGAAAAAGCACAACGTTTTTTTTTTTTTTTACTATAATGCCCTTTATAACGCTGATGTACAAAGCTTTTATTTTGAAAAGTTGGGAATTTTGGGGCTGAAGATAACAGACCTCTGGAATAGCCGACCTACAATGTATGAAGAAATAACACAGATCAATCAATCATAAACCATACAGGTGAACAGTAATAAAGAAAATTCAGTTTGGTTTTTTCGTTATTTAAAACAGTATCTTTGCTCTGTTGCAGCTCACGGGAAGATGATGATCCGGATAAGGAGGAAAAACATTGGCAACATTCTTCATCGCTCGGTCTGAACGCTGGGCTCTGCCTCAGATCCTGCACTACTGTGGAGTCACCTGTATTTATGTCTATATTTTTATTTCTAGCTTTACTCCTGCAGGTGTTTCACAGTGCTACAATACTTGTGTAAAGCTAATCTCTTGTGCACCTGAATTAACTTTGTAGTGACTGAATCATTATACGTCTCAATATCTCAGTGACAACAAACTTGCGTTTGGCTGATTTTTAATAATGCAGCTCTTTATTGTAAATGTAATGTCTTTGATTCCACAGTTTCAGAACTGTGTTGCTAGCATACTGATATAAACCGTTTTCCTGCAAATTTAAGGAAAATGCCAAAGTTACACTATGATTTTTTTGTTCTGTGGCCAAATGATGCTTCTGCTGCACATTGAAAGAAACTGATGCTATTCTACAGTGTTTTTTTTTTTGGGGGTGAAGCTTCACTATTGTTTATCAATGTGAGGAGCAGCATTAGCAGATTAAAGCAGTGGACAATCATTGTTCCAGGATCAATGACAACAGAACCAGTGCTCTCAAGCAAACACATTCGTCACGTGGACCATCTCCTCACGACTGTAAATCAATGTGAACAAGGTAGTGACTGCTTTATTCTTGTCAGATTAGGCCTAAATATACATGCACTTTTTGCTTTTTCCTTTTAAATCAATATCATGCAGCTTTATAAATCAATATGGTCTTACTGGTGTTATTCGTCATGTTGTTGAGTTAAAACAGAGGGGGGCAGTGTTGTGTAAGGTTCAGCATAGGCCCCTTTGGGCTTCATGGTATTTGCTCTACTGTCTTGTTTTATGGCTGTAAAGAACTGGAGTCAGATTTCATAAAATAAATCCATACTATATTCCAACTTTCTTTCTTTTATTTTTGTTTTTACTTTTTTCAATTACTATATCCCCATCAGTGTGTTTTGTATTTGCAAAGTGCATATTGAACAAATAGAAAAACATCAAATTAAATTCAAACTTAACTTAATAGCACAGATCCCATTCTTCCTCTGGACTTACAGTCCCCTCATGAAACTTTATTTGGATCTGTACCAAATTGTAAACACTCACCTAAAAATGCAAGTTTCATGATCCATGACTTATTCTCTGAAGAATCAACTAAGAGAAATAAACAAACCCCAATGTAGAGTCTCTTAAATTCACCGGTGTTGATCTTTACTTGCAGTGCTGACTGTACAGGATACTGAGTCATACCTTGTTATTTCTGAGGGGGATTCAAGAGATTTACTAAAGTCAGAGGGGGTTTGCATTCAGCAATTACACACTTACAGTCCTCACAGATAGATCTGGACATGGAGTATTGACCAGTGATTAAAAAGTGCAGGGTATCCCCACAAGAATTTACATGGCTGAGAAAAAGTTTGGTAAGAGCAATTAGATCTTTGTGTTTGTAAAGGTTTGACATAAAGCAGCAGTTATCAATATTTTTTACATTAACGATTGATAAAATGACTACATGTAATCTGACACGTGTTGCTTACAGTGACAGAGTCTCCCATCTTACTGTCGGGGAAGAAGCTCTCATAAACCAGTTGTGCTCCACCTACCCAACACCAAATGGCAGGAAGACACAGTTTGTCTGGTGAAATGAAATTTAGAAGCTAACAAGCTTATAAGGGGCTACGCTATTATTCTTTGACACTGCGTTATGTCTATTATACAAATTGTTTTTTTCTCCTTCTAGAATGGGCCCTTTATATATAAATACTTAATATTTACAGCAGGAGCAGGTCCTCTTTCATCTTCATGTCTGTGCTAATATCCATGAACAGGTGATAATTATCTGCATGTATCTGATCTTTATATATAACAATATGCAATATGGTGATAAAGTGGCCCATCAGCCTTGGCAGAGGTACGCACTAGTGAACCTATTTTGCCCAGTTGCTTCAAACTGCTTCAAACCAATAGAAAAGCAGCAGGTATTTTAAAATAAAATAAAAAGTGAGTGGATTTGAGTGAACTTGGTGGAAGAACCTGTTCCCTTTAGGAGCAGATCAGGGTATCCAGACATTTCTCACCACTTTCTTTAATGCAGTAAAATACGGGGCTTTTTTTGGACACCAGGGAATAATGGATCTTGATGAAAAGAAATCTGGCATATTCAGAGGACTGATTTCTAGGACTGATACAAGTGTACACAACTCATATCCACATTAGTCTTCTGGAGTTTCCATGAGCAAGAAGGGAGGCTGATGTTTCCCTGCGTGAAGCACATCCAACAACACAACCTGCAACCTGAGGTGTGGGAGTTGAGAGCTCAGCTGCAGGCTCCGGTGTGATGTAACAGGAAGTAGTGGGTTGCCTTCCAACGTCAACCTGACATCCCGAGTGCGCTGCGCTCACTGAGAGCCGGAGAGCCGCCGTGTGTGGAGCAGCTGCGAAGCCGAGGACGAGGACACTCTCCGGGGACTCCATTCCCGCTGAAAGCTCCTGCGCTGCGCTTGGATTTTTTTACGCTGCGGTAGGACGCGCTGAAACCCACCGTGAGTTGTGTGCATCGTGTGACTGTGTTGATCCCGTGTCTCCTGCAAAACTACAGCGGCGGTGTAGCACAGAACCAGTCCAGGGTTGACAGTGCGTGTTTATCCAGGTCAGTTCGACCGTATTTCGCTCTGGATTACAGAGCCGAGGAATGTGCTGTTATGTCCTCAATCCATTTGAAACACCAGAATACGAGCATCCATTACTGGCTCCAATTAATCTGCATTGTCCTTCTGTCAAGAGCCAGATGTGGACGAGTAGCCTGTATGGACATGGTTGTCCATATAGATCACGCATATCCTGAGATAAGGGCTCACCTCTATCCGTTTTATGGAGGGTTTACTCACGATGCACTGATGGAGGGATGCGGTCTGTTCACGCTTCGTGCAAATGCGCAAAAGCCTTTTTTAAACGGGAGTAAAACTCTGCAGGATCTCTATTAACGCACCGATTATCATTAACATCAAAGGTTAACATCAGAGATTGAGGTTTCTGATTTCAGAGTGTTTGCATGGCTGAATCCGCTGTGGCTGACTCTACTGTACATCCAGTTTATCGTCCATTCATCCATTCTATAGATTCAACAATAATCACAGTGAGGGTATGGAGGGTGAAAAGTGCCCGACCTCTTCAGACTGATTGGGTTGGGAATCAGCAGTGGATCAGCTCCATTCAGTGCCAAGGCTCTGATGTGAGCCCTGGTTGCTGGCTGCTAAACCATCTGCATGGTTATATAAGCAGCAGATTTGGACAAGCTGGAAGTTTGTGGGTTGGACAGTAACAGAGACAGGGACGGGGCTATTGAATGATGGTGATGTGTAGGAGGAGGAGGCTTTGATGATGATGGTCACCGCTGGATGTATATACCTTGCTGAGGAAAGACGCACCGTTGTCATTATGAAGGTGATGACAGAGCCCAGTCATAAGCATGCTGGTTATTCACACAGCAGGGTCTATGCACGTGAAAGTAGCTACTGCAGATTCCTCATGGATTTTTCAGTGATGAAGAGTGCACACATAGGCTGTTGTATTTATTAGTTAGCATTTTATTCGGAACTTTCATATTGGTGAATAAGAAAAAAGCAATTATCAAGAATCAAGCTGATTCGTATCAACAGGTCTTCAGTGATATTTAGCGAAGGACCACTGTGTAACACAATAATCATAGGTGTGTCTTAAATATTACTCAAACTTATGTTACCTTTCGCTGCGTTCACTTACTCAGGCAAGTGTGGACGCAGGATCATTTGTGTTTTACTTGTGGTACCCACGCAAGCAACCCAAGTTTTATATCTACATAAGGCGTGGGTCTTCTTTCATGGAGTCCGCCATCTTCTACTGTAGCCCAGGATGGACAGACCAAACTGGCACTAAAGAGGGCCTAACCTGAAAGCCATTGCAGCTTCTCCTACATGCCTGGAAAGAGAGGGGTATTCACTGGCTTGCAATCTGCAACTTCACACCTAGATATCAATAAATCCTAAACACTAGTCCATTTAAACTTTAATCCAAGATATTAAATTCCGTCCTGCACAATATGAAAAACTAAAATAAAGTTTGGGAAACTAAAATGATCTGGTTAAGGAAAAGTTGTGGACATAGTAAATCAATGAAAAATAATTAATTGACCTTGAAAAGCCATTACAATTTGACTCATAACTCCCCCGTAAACTTGACGCACAAATACATTTCTTGTGAAATGACCAAATGCTCTTCTGACGTTAATTGTTTTGTGTTGACAGACCCTCTCCCCTCTCACTTTGAGGCTAATTGTGAAAATAAATGTTTTCAGGGCCTTTTGAGCAAATCCATTATTACTTGCAACATCTGTCACTTAATTGTGTTTGTATGTGTGGTGAAAACAATTCAACCATTGAGTGTTTGTTCAGAGAACAGAAGAGTCCATTATTTCACAAGAAAAAAATAGTATAATATTGTATTCTACTGTACAAGCTCTCTCCTGTTCAGAAGATATTTACTGCTGCTTGTTGAACTGAAGTTTGGTTACGTGAATCATATATCAAATATTTTTTATACAAGTCTTTAAGAATTGTTTGAGACAATTTTTTCTCAACCACTTGAAATGGCACCATGTCTTCTGCTATGTTACTAATATGTCTCTTGTCATCTGTTGCTTTTCTGTTTTTGAAGAATCATTCTGCTAAAGTTTGCTGAGTATGTTAAATTGTGATGTTAACTCGGGAGGTTAAGGTGTGTCGTGGACAGTGGACACATGACTCCTGAGTCTTTTCATACATTTTAACAATATTAAAGCCACTCACCTCAATGTGAGTGGATCCAAGTGTAGCAATCAAATGTAACATCATATAATGTGAGGCTGGTGGTGTCTGTATTTTACCTCCTGTTGCAGTTTTTTCATTAATTTAAAAACTTTATCCATGCTTTTATAGGCAGCTTCACTATCTTATCTTCAGGTGCAATGCCTATATTTGGTCTCTTTTCCACTCTCAGGGTGCATGTGAAGTAGTCAGTCAAGTAGGCTGCATGACAAAGTAACTGTCAAGGTTTGGTTTTTGCTAAATTAATAATATATGTGACATTATATGAGACGATATATCACAAAGATGAAAATGATGATTAATACCACACAGTAATCCTGGTAAAACTGGGTCTGTACTTCACTGTCCATGCATGTCGCCTCTCGGGACACTTTGGACAGTGAACCCGTCAACGCTGCCAGTTGGCAGCACTTTCAAATGACTCTGTGAGGCCTTTTTGCTCTGACAATATCCAATTGCCAGGACCTACACTAAATACATGAGCCGATTGTGCAGTGGGAATGTCTTGCAACTCACCACTTTCAACCACCAAACAGTCATGCTGAGTGTTTACTGCCCTGGTCTAAAAAACGGCTATTAAATGTGGTGCAGACAAAGGTCTTGGCTGCATAGCTTCCAAAGCCTTGGGTATCTCCATGGTATGATAAGTCCGCTCCTAATGGAATAGCATTTACAGGGCTGTGCCAGTGGGATCTCCTTCACACTGTTGCTGATACTATCATACAGTAGCTCAGTTGTGCACAAGCGTTGAACGTAGGGGTCAAGGGATGATTTTATTTCTACCTGCTCTATGCAGGTATTATATGTGAGTTAATCCAGTGCTATTGTGTTGGACCTACTTCATGCAAACAATGCTGGTAACCTCCACTGACAAATACAAAGACCACCACACTCCGTCCCAGGGGTAATGATGATGCTCATGAAACTTACCCCCCATAAATCATCAAGACTGCACCCTGCAGCTCATGGACTGCTGTGTTCTCTCTGTCTTCGCTGTTACTGTAAGAGCTGACATTTGTTCACCGAGGGATGTGACCTCCATTTGAAACAAATCAGTAACACACGTATACATGTTTTGTTTTCTTTCCTGTTGGCTTACTTCAGCCTGAAGTGATTATATTACACAAAAGCTCAATGATGTAGGCTACATATGCACCGGTCCCGAAGCACTCCCCTCAGGTTCTGGATTCAGTTTCGTGTGTGTGTGTGTGTGTGTGTGTGTGTGTTTGAATTCTACTGAGGTAATTTTTTCCGCTCATACATTATGAAGGGTCTTTTTTTTTTCCAATCCAGTTTTTAATTTCAGCACACAAAGTCCCTGACGACACCTTTCATGGGTTTAATGTCTGCAGATGCAGCAGCTGAGGAGCTTTGCAGAGGTTGGCAGTGAGAGCTGTGGAGCTTTGCGGAGGATAGAGGACAGTGGAAAGAGGCTGTGTGGTTTCTAAGGGTGTTCCGTGTTTGTATGAGATAAACAAATTGTCATTGACACAGGCTTCCTGATTTACTGTAAGGGAGGGAGGGGGTTGCTGGCGTATGGAATAGAAGAAATGGTCCCTCGGAGACTCTGTGTGTCTGCCTGTCTACCAAAGGTGAACCTGCTGCACTGTATAATCATTACTCATAAAGAAGTAATGAACCACCATCATTTTGCAGTTTAAGGTCTTACAGTCATATAACAAAAAACTACCTATTCTATTCTTGGATTTTATAGAACAGGGTGTTAATGAATAATTTGTTCAAGTAAGTGCAGAGATTTTCTGATTTTAAAGAGTTCCCTTTCCAGTCAGTGCACTCTGCTTTGAACCCCTCTTCCACCCTGTATTTTCTGCTGCTATGAGCAAATGTCTGCAGCAGACATTGCTGTTGGATCTCCAATTAGCTTACTTACTCTACTGTGAAAATGTGACTGTTATTATTGTCAAACTCTGGCTGCTGGAAGCCGTGCCAAAAACCATCTCCATAGTATTGTAGTTAATTGGTTTGCAAGGTTAATACAATTCCCAAATTGCTTGGTTCCCCCTTAAAAAAAACAAAGTATTATTGTCCATATTCTTTATCATGGTCATTATCACATCTCCCAGCGTGACCTGTATGAAAAATTATGACCGGCTGGATGGTTTTAGATGATTCTTATTAGACAGGACAGTATTTTCTAGTGGATGAATGACATTGGAACACATAATATCCTGCTTATCTGTTTTAATCATAGATTGCATAAAGATGGAAGGCATGACAGCTCACCAAAGTGAAGCCAAAGTGTCAGGATAGCTTGTGGCTGACTGTGATATATATATATATATATATATAGTAAATATGCCTTTTCTATAAAAACAGATATAGATCAAGCTAAAAAGTCAAAGATACGTCAAATACATTTTTTCAAAGATGGTGTCTGTCAGTAAAATCCTCCCATAAAAGAGGGTGAAATGTCCTGATTGCTCCCGCAGACTTCAATTGTGCAAGATGGCAGGCTTCATAGGTGGGATATTTTGGCTTCATTTCTGGATAGTTGGAGGAAGTGAAAACACATTTTCCATCTTTCTATGGTTTTAATAAACACTCTCCATTCCATTCATTGTTCTGTAGCACATGTGATAAGGACAACAAGGGACTAAATTAACTTTTTAAAATCTGTGTTTGTGACAGCATAAATCTTCTCTTTGAATCACATGTTCTGTGATCTCTCAAGAAAAAGTCAG